GAAAATTCTTCTTCTGCCAGTCCTTCATCACCTTAGACGAAATAGGGTTAATACATTTCCTTTTTTCTCTTTTGCTTCATTTTGTTCAGTCTTGCTTTCCTCGATTCTTTCCCAATTTAGTTCCTTTTGCCCTATTCCCTTCCTATTCTTCGTCACCTTTTCGTTTTTTTTTGTCTATTCCATTTATTCATTCTTCATCATTTTCACCCTCCCTTTTTCCTCTCTATTTCCCAGATTGTTTCCATTTTCCAGTATCTCATTTCTTTTCCTTTGCCTATTTAACCTACATTTCCACCTTCCCATCATCTCTCGATCTCTCTCTTTTTCTCCATTTCCTCTGGCTATTTGTGGCAAAGAAAAACGTGAGTCTTGTATGTCCGAAAGGGCAATAACCGGAGGATCAGGCAGCTGGAAGCTGTACATACGAAAGAAAGTTGCGTCTCGAGGACTCTATTAGTTGGAAATGGTTGCTCGAAGTCATCTTGACGCCTTGGCCAGTTGGCTCCAGGCCGCTCCGCGCCAAGTCCTGTCGCAACTTGCGAGGCGGAGCAACCAGCACGTCGCGAAGGCTCATTTCTCATCGCACCTGCCCACTCGTCCACTTTTCCCTCCTTCCCACCGTTCGCCGAATACATCTATTCCTCCACCTCTGTTCGTTCGTCACCAGACGAAGCTGAAATTGACTTTCTTGCCCTGCTCTGCTCGCATGCCCACCAATCCTTCACACATTGGTAGCGCTTTCACCTGCTTTTTTCGGGGGTTATGGTAACTCTAGTCGCATTTTCGATTAAGATCAAGATTTGGCCAGGGCATGACTACCAAATCGGGCTATGCATAGATTGCCTATTTGTGGCTCATATATACACACATACACACACACACACACACACACATATATATATATATATATACATAGTTAGAGAGAGAAAGGGAACATAGGATAGGCCTGAACTGATAGGTTGAAAACTGATTACATAAAATAATGAATTTCCATTTTAAATTATTTTTGCCCTCGGGTCTCCAAAGCACTTGTCTAGAGTCCTGCTTATTTGGTTATTGCCCAAACCCGTCCTCCACTTCCTCCAATTTCTCCTTCACTTCCTCCTCTTCCTCTTCCTTCTCTTGCTCCTCATTTGCGCCACTTTGCTTCCAATTCCTCAACCCTCCTCTAACCGGACTCTATTTTGGCTGGGCTAATCTCCTCTGCTTAAGTATTCATTATTAACTGATCGATGTCATTTTAATTAAATTTAATGGTCTTATTGAGTGTAAAGAGGAGAGACGGCTCATGATTACACGTATTTTGGGTGAAATTCAAGATGAAACAGCAAATACCTCCAACTCTGTCTCGGCTGGATACATGACATCAAGCAACTGAGAGTGATCAGTTGAATGGGCCTTGGCGAAGGTCGCTGATTGGTGGGGAGAATGTTGTGTGCCTGTGCTGAGACTGCCACTCGTTCGGAAAACTTGGGCTCGAACCCCGTCGGGAGGAGAGGATACTTTCGGGCTTGCCCTTCCTCGGTTGAACTGACTGGAATTTCAATGAAATGGCTCAGAAGTTAACCCTTTCTAGCATCGCGCTTCTTCGGCCACGAGGATCTCCGCATCGAGCCAGCAACCATCAGGGCACTTTTTTACCTAAATAGTGGTACAGAACACATACACACACTTTGACCAGCGCACGAAGGGATAGTGTAGGCCTTTCTGCATGCGTGCGGGGCTGATGAATAGAGCAGAAAGGGGAAAGGAGGATCAAGTGGTCGGAAATGTTGGCGGCAATTTGAGACAAGGCCATACCAAAAAGGGCTTTCAACGGATTCTTTACAATTCGGGCTCCAAAGGGAGCAAGGTAAGCAAGGAGTTGGACTTTTTTAGCCCTAAGCCTCATCTAAAAGCCCCAAAAAGTCTATGTTCGGGCGACAAAAGCAATATGGTCTCATCATGTACGCATCTGCGATTGACAGGTCAAAGGGAGACGACCATTCGGGGCAGAACCGTCCCCAATTTTGAGGCTAGAAACAACAAAATGAATCTGTGTTGAGGGGAAGGGAAGCAGGGTCGAACTGTTGTTATGATGCTCTTCTTGGGCACACAGATATATGCTTGTGTCTGTGTCCATACATATTTGCATGAATGCAGACATTAATGTATTCATACTTACCAAAATAAATACATACATGCAGATATATACCCACTTCCCACACACACAGACACACACATGCATAGACCAACATCCATATATATATATATATAGATAAATTCATATTGATATACTCTTTCGAGCGGGCGTCAAGTCCGAATCCCACGCTCATCTCCAAATCGCCAGAGGACGGAAGGAGTTCTGTTTAGTTACCACGTTAGGTTTCCACCTTTCAAGTAATATTCGTACCATTCAGACCCGCTTGAACATGAGGAGGAGCTTGATCGGGCTCTTCAAGACTCGAGAAGCCTTTGGCTCGTGTCAGACTCGAGGGATGTGTGTCTATCTTGGAGATGGGGGGGACGGGTGAAGCGATTGTGATCGAACTAGAATCTTGCCCGACGCCTACTGGTTGCGTCAACTTTGGACTCGACAATGGAGGTGGGTCTATGCGAAGAAGTTTGGTTTCTAGGATTCTTTTGATTTGCATATTTTCCAGTTCGAGTGAAAGTGTGTGACGATGAAAAAGACGATAAAGGATTCCTATCGGCTAGCCGATAGATTTTCTTAACAGGTTTGCTTGAACGCTGTTCTGAAGGGTACTTCCCTGCTCTGAGAATGCCCAGCATATGACGAATGTAAACCTACTTGCATAAGAAGAAAAATAACTAATTTAGTCGATTGCATAAACAAATATGGCTCTTTTTTCGTATATAAGCAGAATTTCGGGATGATAACAACTTTTGGGAAACAAGGAAGTGTGAAATTCAATGGAAGCGTCAGTTCTACTCGTATGATTGTGGGAAGCTTCTACTGCCAGTCCTTTATCAACTTAAACGAAATAGAGTGAATATATCTCATATAACTTTGCTTTATCGACGATCCCACTGCAGAAATGTGATATTGAAAAAATAAAGGCTTCTTTGAAATGTACATCTGCCCTGCGACCCAAGAGCGCACTCGCAGCAGTGAAGCGTAGTTGCTTACTAGACGGGACTATACGTTGCACTATCACAACTCGGATTCGAGTCCGGTTGGGGTGCTGATGAAACGATGAGGCGAGGTCGAGACTGCAGTCGAGTCCAGTCT